AAACCCAAACCCAAACCCAACCCCAAAACCCAGGAGAGAATGTCAGACCAAGATTCCCAACGTAGTAGAGAAAACCGAGAAAGCTAAGGGTTGATACTTAAGTCGCCAGCTTTGCTCAGTCGTCGAACTCACAGAGACAAAGGGAATTGAAGAATATTAGAATCTTTGAATAGGTTCTGAATCTGGCATAGACTGTTGCTTTAGAGTCCAAAAGATGAAATGAGAGAAGTCTTAAATAAAATGAATGAATTGCATGGAGGACAAAGAGATGTTTAAACACTCCTGTGTACCAAGTGTGCACCTTGTAATAAGAAGGGGCCTTCAGTAGTGACCCTTTATACGTAGATAATTAATAGAATTCTAGGAACACTAGAATTAAAACTTAAAAAATTTAAATTATTTGAGGTATCAATAAATGTAAGAAATGCTTTTTTACATAGCTATTCTTCATTACTCAAATATAGAGTAAACAATAAATTAAATAAGGAATTTGAAATCGATTGAAAGATAATAAATCTATATGTGTTATTGTATTGTGTAGAGATCTAAATAAATAACTCTTGATATAAATGCTTATTTAAGAAGTAATTTAACATAATCAATAATATATTATAAATAAATCAAAGCTTCAATCAGATATATTTTAAATAAAAAGCGATTTATTATAAGATACTTAATATCGATGATACATATTTAGCAGGAATCTGAACATTTGTTGATAGTAAGTTAAATTTTGATTATTAAAACACTCATAGTAGAAATTAGTTGAATATGAGCCAATTAAATAAAATTTATCTCGCTCGATCTCTAATTTATAAAATTATAAATATTAAATGCTCAAATTTAAATTGATTCTTATTTAAATGCAATAAGATAATTTCATGGAATGAATTTTATCTTAATCTACCAATAATAATAAGAATTTTAAACAATATGTTTTAAGTGCAAATTGAGATTGAAAACAAAATCTCTTATTATTTTTTTAAGAGAATAAAACAACTCCTTAAATATATATATCTGTTTATAACTAGAAAAACCAATGTTAACATAAATATGATTCTAATCTTTTTGACTTTAAATCTGGAAATAACACTACTAATTTGATATTTCTAGATTGAGATATGAGTAAGAAATAACTTCAGAATAAATGTTAAGGATGCCTTACTTTCAAACTTTAGATTATGTATAATAACGAAAATATATCCTTTGAAAATGGATTTAAATTAAGGTAGTATTTTACATCTGTTCTTATTTATACAAATAAAAATTTATTGTTCATTTTAAAATAAAATTAAACGAAAAATTTATATAAAACAATTTTATTTACTGATAATGTGGCTATTATTTGAGTTATAAAAGTAAAAGGATAATATTAGAAGTAAACTTCCAAAGCAAAATCCAGCTGTTTTTTTAAAAGGTTCTAATTCAGATGGTGTGAGTCCAACTCCTGTGTCAATAACTTCGAATTGGACATATTTGTTTGCTGAGTCAACTATATGTAATTAATATACATTATTGTTTATTTCTAATTTTACATGTTAAGATATATGGATTCATATTGACCAAATATATCAATCGAATATCATCTTTGAATGTAAATTTTTGAACATTGGAATCTAAGGTTATAAAGATTTATTTTAGTCTTCTTTGATCAGCGAAGATTGTTCTTTCACTTAAATTTAAATCAAAGCCTATTGTTAATCCTTTTTATTTAAGAATGAGAAAAAATACTTTTAATTTCATCAACAATTCTATAATCTATAATATTATCAGAAATATCTTACATCTATTTTTCAAAATATAATTCTAGCTTCTTTCCCAATTGAGCATTAAATCAATCATGCCTAACACAAGATGGTACATAATCATTCCTGTAGCTTTAATTGGTTTAACGTAAGATTATATTTAACATCATTATGCTTATATATTGCTATTAGTATAAAGCCAATAAATAATTCAGAGATGTTCAAAATTCATGTGACATAGTATTAACTATATCTTCTTTTTGATATTTATCTTTTCTTCAAAATCATTAAATTAAATTTTGAAATCATTTTAGTAAATGATTTGATTATATGATTCTCTATCTTACAATGAGTATATCTTTATCATGCTTTTTGCATCTCCAATCATAATTTTATGGGCTTTAGCAAATTTTGAGCTCCTCAAAAAGTTATTTCTCAATTACTTACTAAGACTCAGCCTTCCAATAGCTAATTAAATTCAATCTAATAGGTTTTGAGTTTTATTCTGAAACTCTTGGAAAGAAACATTTTTTAGTTAATTCAATATTTATTTTTTATCTACTTAAGAGTTTATTTTAGGTTGACAACTATTTGCTCTTATTTTTAATTGTTTTTATTGTAAAATCATGGGTAATGTCTACATTCTGTTTAGGTATAATATTTTCATATTCATATAATTATGAACTAAATTATTCTAACTATGAAGAGAATTTAGTGTAAATTGTTAATAAGCTATCTTTGAGCTATTTAAAAATGAATGTAAAATTTGCTATTTTAGTTTGAAATTCCTTCACAATTTTCGAATTTAAATTTTATTACTTTTATGATACATCCATGCAATTAAATTCTGATTTTATTCAAGAATACATTTCGCAAGGTTTCTTTAATTTTGCATTCGTCAAGAGATGTTTAAATTAATAAAAATTATTTCCGTGTTAATAACAAATTTATGAGCTTAAACTTTTTTATAAATAATTCAAAAGAAAAGCAATAAATTATTTTGATTAATTGTTATTTTTCAAAAATATAACATATAATTCAAATATGCCTTTTAGAATTTAATAACAGTAATCAAAGAAAGAAAGTTTTTTTTTTATATTTTTAAAGAGAGATGTGGGAGGGGTTCAAATCAATTTAATATTTCTAGATTTCTAGTGAATGATTTGATAAGATAATTAAAGATTTTAGAATGTGATAATAAAATATTATTATTCATGTTATTCAAATCGTCTATTTTAACTAAAATCCAATGATAGTTTCTTGATTTAATCCTTGTGATGTAAAATAATTAATGCCTATTTTTTAATTTTAACATTTTTCTGTTGAAGGGTAATAAATTTCAGTAATTAACTCATTTTAATTTGAATACCATTTTTTACCGCACTTAATATGAGCATATTCAAATCAAATCAAGAATTAACTTTAATTACATCAGATTAATTTAAATAATAATTGAAATACATATTTTAGGTTGGTTTTAAGATTTCTTTTAATAATGATTTATAAGCTAACAGTTTTATTTGATATTAATTAATCCGTAGTTTATCCTAGTTTTTTGAACTATTTTTTAGTTAGAAAAAGATTAAATGATTATTAAGCAGATTAGAAAATTGAAAGAAGAAGCTATTATTAATTTCAACAATAATTGTTTAAATACTTTTATGAATACCGTATAAATTTAAAATCATTCTTTTATTGCTCCTTACTCACATAATAATGTTTAAAAATTTTCAATTTCATCTGTTTAAAATGTAGATTGTCTAATACTGCAATTTTAAGCTGTTAAAAGAGGATTTTTGGCAAAAGTGTAATAGCAAATAGGTATGCCATAAATTTTTATTGTATCTTAATCGATCTTATAGAACAATATCGATCCATCATCCATTCCAAGTATGAATTATTCTTAGGATGGAACGAATGAGATTGCATTTATTTTTGAACTAAACTTATTCAAAGTATATTATAATTAATTTGTTTGAGAATCAAAAATCTCCAAAGTTCTATTATTAGCTTTTCCACTATATTTGGACAGATCTAATTATTGTTTTGCAGCTGTAAAATCAAGTTAATTTTCATCTCTGATAACACCTATTTCCGTAAAATCTTAAATACTTTACTGAATTATCTAATCAGATTTACAAAAAATTCTGATTGTTTATGAATTTAGAAACTACATAGCCAAAGCTTGAATTGGATTCTCCAAATTAATTTTGACTTTTATTGAACCGTAATCAGAAATATCGTACAATCTTATTGTTAAATCAGTTCCTAATGATAAAAGAATTTTCCCATCAGATGAAAAGATTAAATTTTCAAGTTTACTGCCCTCTAAAGTTGCAATTACTCTGATTTATATCTAAGATATATCATATAATTTAAGTGTTTTTTTAATTTATAGAGCAATTACATTTTGTGATTTATTAAATGCAGTTGAAAACTTTTCGTCCCAATCCTTAAAATCAACAATAGGTTTAAATAATTCGTCTATATCATTGCCAATCTAATAAAAAAATTTATAATTCTAGCATTACGTCTAATCCTCAACTTTTTCAGCCCATATAACCATGAATTCCTCATCATTACGAGGATGTAATTGCAAATTTAGAGAATATTGCAAGTTCTTATTGTTCTCCAGATGTTATGATCCAATCAACTCAAATCTATCAGTTATATTCCACTATCTTATTTTTTTGTCGTTATGATATGAGAACAATATCTTACTATTACCAGAAAATATCATAGATAAAAGCTAAGTATTTTAGTTTTCATTGGAATTTAATTCCCCCAGTCGTTATTTATTTTCAATTGACCATATAATAATTTAATGATTTTCATCCTCAAAAGCAAGTCTCATTGAATTAGCACAATATGCAATTGTTGTAATTTAACTTGCTGAAATTCCAACTATTTATTCATTATTTAATTCTAATCTATCATTTATATGAAATATCTCTAATGGATTAGTTTTTATTAGCAGATTTGTTGAAAGAATAATTTCTCGTTTTTGATTCTTTAAATCAGATTAAATTTGTTATTAAATCTATTTATAATTTACTTCCAATTTTTGTTCCAAACCAGGCTCACACCAATATATCTTGTGAAATTAAATTATGTATTTTGTGTTAAATTTCCATATATGAATTGATTCTTCAGCTTGAGCAATAAAATATTGACTATTAGGCGAGAAGCAAAATTTAGATGGAAGACGTTTACCCTTAATTAATATATCAAGCTTTTTTAATTCTATCAAATCCCATCTAATGATTTCTTCTTCAGATCCTGTTACTAATTAGAGACCATCTGAAGAAATACAGATCTCTCTAACTGAAGAAGAGTGACCATCTAATTCTAATTATTATTGTTTTAAGGCATTTAAATCCCATAACTTTATGACATCATCACTTGTTTAAGCTAATATTCCTTTTATTGAAATTTTAAGGATTTAGATTTAATTTGTATTGGTTTTAAATGTAGAGAGCAATTTGTAAGATTTAGTATCCCAAAATTTAATTCTTAAGTCTGAATAACTTGTAACAAAGTTATATCCATCTTAAGAAAAAACAATATTTAGACACTTGAATTTATTGTCATATATCTCTTCTAAACAAGTCACTGTTTTTTTGGTTTCCATATCAATTAGCAATATCGTTTATTTTATTTCTTCCTTACTGACAATTAGCAAAGTTTGTTAATTATTTAATGTGAGGGGGCTATTACCAAACTCTTTCAAATCAATTTCTTTTAGTCTCTTAGTAGAACTAATATCAAATTAATAATACAGTAAATCATCGTTTAATACTGAGAAAATATTACTGTCTAATTAAAAGTTTGTATATAAGTATTCATGATCTTTCTTTGAATCATATGATTAGGGTAGTAATACCATTGTAATAGTATTTGAAAGTGAGATAAATTATACACGCTGTCCTACTGCGATAACCACCTAATTTGAGGCAAAAATTAAATCTCTTGATCTTACATCTTCATCTAATTATATTAAGTTAATTTATTATAATTCTTGTAAGTTTATCAATGTAATGCTATTCTAACTATAAATACAAATCTCTTATTTTTGATCTAAATAAACCAGTTTCAAAGGAGATGATTAGATGATAGGGATTTTTTTTGCTACTGAGTCAAAGCCTTCATATAAAACTAGTTCTCCATCTACTAAAATTGATAACTTTTCTTACCCAAAAAAACAAATTAAGAAACAACATTATTCCAATTAAAATTTGTGCAATGTTTAATTTTTTTTAATATCTATAATAAATGCTCCCTTTGCTGTTGCAACGGCTAAAAGTAAAGTATCTGACGAAAATTAAAAGTCTTTAATCTAATTTTCCTTTTCATAGTAGCTCATACATTAACTGTATTGATTTTTTATAACTATCATCTGAATTCTAGTAGGATCTTAAGAATCTTTCATAGCAATAATTTTATTGTTCGAAACTAAATTGCAATAACTTCTGTCTGAAGTGTGCAAACTACTTTTTTCTAAAATTTTTTCATCCTGTATTTTTAATTGATATACACTCTATCCAATATGAGCAATAAAATCTTAATCATTTAAACAATACGCTTTATGCAATATTTCGTTTTCATCAATCAGGATTTTTTTATTAACCTCAAAAAAATTTTCATTTGTTTTCCAAATTCTAAGAAATCTATCTTAATTTAAGGTTACCATAATGTCTCCATTCTCATTAAAATTTATGTCTATAAATGATGTTTCCTATTTTAAGTTTTTAATTATTTCAATTTTAGAAGAATTCCATTAGTAGATTTCATCCGAAGAAGAACCACAGATTGGCACTAAAAGTGGCTTATTTGGACAAAAAATCAACTTTTTAGCTTCTAAGTGTGGTTATAAATTCTATAAAATATTTGGTTTACGTTTGTTGGTGATACTCCAAAAAATTAAATGCTCATCTTTACTGGAAGAGACCATTTGATTTCCATCTGATGAAAATGCTAGATCTAAAACTTGATCTTAATGATCTGTTAATTTCACAAATAATAATAGTGTTTTTAAATTCCAAAGACAAATTGAATGGTCTAAGCTACCTGAAGCTAAAACTTTATTATCTTTTCTAATTTTTAAAGCTGAGATATTTTTTTAATGTTTACTTAAAAAAACTTTTATTTACTTAATTTACTACAAGCTTTTAATGTCCCATATTATAATTTTAGGATTATCAGATTGGAGAATTTATTGATGACTAGTAGCCAAAATTTAACTATCAGAAGAGATTTCAATTAAATCTACTTGAAGTTTAGAATTTATTTTAAATAAGTTTTATTGATCATGTAACTTTTAAACCTCATATAAGTCTATTGAAGAGAGTGATCTAGATGCAAATAGCTCTCCTTTATTTGAATAAGCTATTTATTATATCTTTTATTGTTAGTCAAAAGTATATTATAATCTAACTTGAGAAAGATTTGAAATATTAAAAAATTCTAACTTCTTATTATCACTTGCTACAGCTAATACCTAATTATCATATGAAAATGCAATAGCAAGTATTGGATGCTCTTATTTTGGAAGCTGTGAAATACATTGAATTTTTGGAATATTAGTATATTTCCAAATTAGTATTTGATTACCACCTGTGGCTAAAAGCTGAGAATTTGAAGAAATTGCTATACAATTAATGGTTTCTTGTGTTGTCTAATATTTTGGTTATTTTTATTATTTTAGTAAATTTTCTACTTACAAAAAGATTATTTTACCATTTTTTAATAATAAAGCCAAATATTTATCATTTGGGGATAACCTAATGTCTTCAATATCTTTAAAATATTCACTTTTTTTTGGATACCTTTGTGATTCTTTTAAATCAATTAAATTATATATGTATAAAAACTGCTAAGAAAGACAAGCCAGCCAATTTTTCCCTATTGATAATTTTTTTAATAACTCATCATTTGGTAGCTTTGCATTTTTAGGTTCTGAATCGGCTGACAACTCTGATTTAATAATAACTCCATCTTAACTTCCTGATATTAAAAATTTTCCATCTTCGCTAAAAACAGCTTATTGAAGAGTTTTATTATGAGTTTTTATTGATGGTTTTTCTTTGCAAATCAATTTTTTCCAAGTAGCATGCTCTATTGTTGCGTAATTAAAATTACAAGAATCTATAGATACATAATTAAATAAAGAGTTGCTCAAGTTGCATTTATAAAAACTTATTCCATCCAATTTAGTATCTTCTATATTTAAATTACTTAGATCAATATTATGAAAATGTTCTCTTAAAGCACCTAGAATATAAATTAAATTTGAAGCTGATCTAATAAGATTATGTTTAGAATCTTTTCTAGATAATAATGCTATTTTAATTAATTTATTCTTTATATCTTCAATCTATTTAATTTTAGGTTTTAACAACTCTATTGTCCCAGAATAATGCTCCAATGATAAATTAAATAAACTTTTGTTAAAACTGCTTTTTTTTAAGAAATTTTCATCAAATGTTTGATTTTCTTTGGGAATGATTTTCTCTATTAAATTTACGATATATTTGGCTACAAAATACTCTTAGATAGATTTATGATTGAATGCATATACACTACCTTTAGAATTAATCAACATACACTTTCGTAATTGTGTTTTGTACTCGAAATCATCTTAATTTTCACTAAAACATAAATCCTCCCAAGAGACTTCAACCTTCCTCTCTAACTAGACTTAAACAATATGTAATTTTCCTTTTTACTGATAATTTACTTATGTAAGTTAATTCATAGACATCTCAATTGCCAAAAATATTGAAAAATCTTGTAAATCTTTAATCATAGTTTCTTCTTTAATACTTTAACCCAAAGCTTTCAATTTTTACAGTTGTTAAGTGTGATAGAAATTCACAAAGATTTCATAAAATTCAAATGCCGTATATTTATGGAGCTTGAAAGCTGAAACAATAAAATTGGCGTCAAAATCGACTGTGAAGTATTTATTTGATAAAATTGTAGTATTGTTTACATATTATAAAGAACCAGCCATTGATAATTATTCAAAAAACTTTTCATTTTCTAAACTTTTTAAAATTTAATCAAATTATTAAACTATTTCTTTACTGATGTTTATTTCATCTTCCTTTGCCACAAATTAAAAATTATTTTTTCTCAATTTTGAATAAATTTCCATATTTGCCTCTGAGGTTTTAGCTTCCATTTTCAAAAACATATAATTTTTTTTCAGTAATTCTCTAATTCTGCTCGCTTTAGAGAGAAGTGAATACGTTTCAGGTAACACATAAACAATTATTTCCATCATAAATGGAGTACACAATAGATTTCTTATATCTAAATTGTTGATTACTGATAAATATTTATTTTCTCCCCATAATTAAAGTAGTTCTTATTTTAGAGATAATATTTAATTAGATGAAATAAAACTAAAAAGCTTAACATTCTCAATCGCTTTTATTATTTTTTCAATATCTGAATTTAAAAACATTATATCAGATTTTTATCTTTATTATATAATCGAATTAATTGTATTTTCTATTTGACTCCAAATTTCCATAAACTCATTTAATTAAAAGTTTTAACCCATTAATTGCTTGAGAAATTCATAAAACTTCTTAATTGCTCTTTTAACGCTAATTTTAGCGTATTTTTCAAGATACTAAGCACTCTGTTCTTCACTAAAAGGTAATATTTCTACCTCTTTAAAATTTTATAAATTTGAACCATAAAACCACGTTTAATATCCTATAGAGTTTAGTATTTCTTCTCTTGTTGTGATTATAAATTTTACTTTTACTTAGGCTTAAAGGTTTAGATCATAATCTAATCGATTTGTATTATATAAATTTGTTCCAATCAAATCAATTTTCATCTCATCGTAGCTTTCAAGTATAATCACAATACTTAATTTTCCATTTTTGACTGCATCTTTAAATTCTCTTATTTAAGTGTTATCAAAGTTGTAATTTTGAGAATTAAGAGCCTTTTCAATTAAATTTTGATTAGGCTCTTTTATTGAAGGAAGTGACACATATATTGGAGTCCAATATGGTGATTTTGAATTATAAATCCAAATAAATTCTTCAATGTTACGTGAAGCTCTACTTTTTCCTGAACCTGCTTTTCCTTTAATTAACATAACATCTTTTTGCTTTTCATCTTCACTCCACAAAAATTCATTAACTTCTCCATCATAATTATTATTATCTTCAAATTTCATCAAAGAGGTTACAAATTCTCCGCTATTGTTTTGTTTCTTATTCCCAGAAATAGGGTCATATTCTTAAGTTTGAATTTCAATGTGAATTTAATCTAATTCATTTTCTTGCTTTTAATTTAAAACCTTCTCTTTTCGAATGATTAATAATTCCATAAAATTTCTACTTCTTAATCTTCTTATGTCATTCTCAACTCCTTTTACACTTGTTAATATTGAATCTATGGATAATTTGATATTTTTCAAATCCTTACTAATTTCCCTTAAAAAAATTAAACTAATATCTAATCTTTATGACATATCTGTTATGTTATCCAAATATACCTCAAAAGCATCATACTCCTGTTATAGTGATTTTTTTATTTCAAGTTAGTTGTCACTTACTAGAACTTAAGTTTAAAGATGTTTAATCTTTTCAAATTTTTTTTGCATCTCTAAATTTATTTTCAGAAAGAAATTTTGCAGATCATGAGAAAATAATCTTTTCTGCATTTTTATCATTTCTTCGTTTTTTAGAAGGTTTCTAACATTTGGATGCTTTTCAATTATCCAGATTTATTTCAATAAATCTTCACAAAACTCTTATATTGACTATTCTTAAATGATTGATTGTATCTTAATTAAATTGAATACAACTAGTTCTCGAACTTTATAGGATGAATCTGAAAATATATCAAAAATATTTTCCTCTTAATCTATTTTCATATCATTTTTTAATTCTGCAATAATATTTTATACTATATCTACTTTTCCTACTTAATGTACTATTCCTTAATCTAAAAGATTTAGGAAATCAAAGGTAAATATATGTAGCAATTTAGGAATTTTTTAATCATTAGTTTGTTCTTTACACTTTTTTAAAAATTTGTCATCAAAAAATATTAACTCGTTTTGAATCATTTTCAAAAATTTTAACGTTTATTTTCGTAAATTAATAATCGATTATTTGAAATTTTTTCTTTAGCTATCATCTATTTCATTAAACAAATTTAAGTTGTTTTATAAAGTCTGAGAAGTTATTTTGCCTAGATTTTAACTAATTATTTTTTTTATCTTTTTTGATTTTGTTATCAACTCATCCAAGTTATTCAAAGGTCCTAAATCAAAAATAACTTGTTATTTCAAATGTTCATCATTGGGAGACGATGGCTTTATATCCTCTATTGGTTAATTCTATGAATTTATTTCTTGAAGTTCCTCCAATGCTTTTTTTAAATAGTATATTTTTTTATCTTACTCTTCCTAACTAAGTAGATATATTTGCATCTTAATTTTTGATAATTATAAAATACTAGTAGTTTTGAATTCTTCTTGGCAATCCATGTTTCATATGTTATTAATTTCTTCTTTAATTTGATTTGATATAATGTTGAAATCTGCTAATTATTCTTCTGTGAGTTCTTAACTTTAATATTTTTGAATTAATTGCTGCAGTTAATCCCTCACTTTCTTAATAAATATTGTAATTTATTCAATACAAGTATTTTATTTAACAGTTATTTAATCAAATACTCCTTAAAGTTATGCTTATATTGATGATACGATGTTTTAGTGCTATTTAAGAATCGTTTCTAATCCCTTACAAATATTGATGTTTGAATGAATGAATATTAGAATTTTCCGAATATCCTATATATTTTTGATTTATAGGTTTTCAATTTAGTTATTATTTTCAATTTAGATATTTTGGATGAATATATTTTCTATTTATAAATTTTCGATTTCTTTATTTTCTTAAAATTGTTTTTGATAATATTCAAAACTATCTTTTATTAACTCTAAAATCAATTAAGGTTTAAACAACGATGTAATAATTTCTACTAGATTTATTTAGTTTAATGATTTGTTCAAAACACGATTTAGCTCTGAATTTTCTAATAAACGTGAGAAATTTCCCTTTATATTAGAGATCTATATATGAAATTTATTGAGATAGTTATATATGTTATTAAAAGACATGATAGTCTTGCCTAATTTTTGTTAAAGAGATCGTTCAAATTCAAGGTTCTCCTCGATTAATTCTATGTGTGAGAGAGATGTATATTGAGAAATTTAGATCCAAAACTAAGAAACATTCTGTAAAATATCCTTTAATTCTTTTTCTTGTCCATCATGAATGACTTTTATGGCATTTTCTATTTATTCCTTTAAATTCTTTGAGTTTTAATCTTAAATCTGAAATTATTCTCCTTAAAGGATCTTTAACACTATTTCATTTATTTAACGTTCCTTATTTACAATTAAAATTATATAATTAATTAAACATAGTAACAGCAGGCTTGATTATTTAATTTGGTTCATTCGAAATTTTAGTTCATGTACAAAGAGTTAGATTTACATATGGTCGTTACTTTTCATCTTTGAATCAAGCTCAGGCAATTAATTTTTAGACTTTTCAAAATTACTAACTATCTGGTCATTTTAGTATTTTACTTATTTCATTAATATTTTTAAGATTTCTAGGTTTGATTGATTAGTTATTGATTTAATAAAAAGATCCTCATCTTTAAATTGTTCCTCCTATTTAGCGTTGAAATTAAAACTGATGTAATTTGGCAAAAGTTAAATATCACTTTAATTTTGAATCAAGTACTTTTAAAACAATTTTAAACTTTCATAACTTCCAATATCATGCTTCGCCAATAATTTCAGCTTATGGTCAAACTTACTATACGGTAACTTAATTAGGGATTAATTCAAAGTATTTTAATCAACAGTTTTTGATTATAATAATAATGTAATTTCATTTTTATCTAAAATTGGTCTATAGCACATAATATCTGATATCAAATTGACCCAAAAATAATGAAATTTCCAATCCTTATTTAGTTTGATAGATCTTGAATATCCGTCTTGAATCTATTCTCTAATATCCTGAATAGAAGAATTATTTTATTTTAATTGAAATACTATAGACCATGTAAGATTTTAGAAATAATAATAAACTTCATATACCTTAATAGGATATTGTATGGATTTATCGTAGATATTCAACACGATAAACTTTACCATATCAAATAAAGAAAAAGCTAACTTTACGCTCAATTTTTGTTCAAATATGGATTGACATATCCCTTTAAAAATTCCTTTTTTTAATAGCTAGATATCTTCAGAATTACTCCTAAGATGCAATACACATGTTTTCATTATTTACCACTCGAATTAAACTCCATTCAGCCAAATACTGGCTGCTTCTACTTAAATTTGAGAAAAAACTTCTTCGATAGTTTCTAAAAACTCCTTTTTTATTTTACTCTACATGTATCCATTTTCATTCTTTAATTAATAAGAAAATATTATTCTCAACAAATCATTACAAATTTATAGTAATTAATGAAAAAGAAAGCCTGATAGCTTAATATAAATAAGTAATTATTTCATTAATTATCCTGTAATTTTTTCTATCAATTAATAATTTTTTGTAGTTTCAGATTAATAAATACAAAGAATATGAAATACTAATTTATTGTTTTAAAACCAACAAAATGCAGCAAGTACTTCATCCTGATTCAATTTATCTTAAAAACTTAAAGATTTTTCAGAAATTATTTTTGTAAATGTTGATAATTAGGTTACGAACCCTTCAGGAATTTATTGGAAATTAGGGTAAACATCAATCTTATTCGAGGACGTTTTTGTCAAACAGCTTCCACCACCTCTTAATCTAATAAAGGATATAAAATGAGTATCTATCTGATGATTTGAAATTTAAAGTTAGATCAAAGCAATTCTCAACTTAATCTATTCTGGTAAACTAAAGTTTCTCTAATTCTATTCTTGATAGCTCTTAGCATGTGCTATAGTAATTGTCTTCCCTATGTAATTCATGGTTAGAATAAAAATAAAAAATAATAATTAAAATCTATTAAACCAATCCTTCGTTTTATACCCTATTTCATAATTCTTAACCGATGTTGTATTATCTTGACGAAAAATAATTGAACATACATTATCATGATCATTACAATATTCATCACAGCATTATTGATCTAATGCTTTGAACAGATATTATTATTCAACTATTTTTGGACACACCTTGTCTCTAATCCATTAATGCAGTTATAATTCTATTAACATCCTCTATAATTATGTTAGATCTTGGAAGTCTCGTAAGAATTACCTATAACTTAAAATCCTGAACCAAAACTTGACTTTTTCTTAAAAACACCCAAAGTTACTAGATTTCCACCTGCTTTTGTTTGTTCTTATGATTGTAATTTTATTATATAAAGTTGTTTTGCCAACACTAATTGATAAGCCTAATAGAATAATTATCTTTCTAATTTATTTATAAAATAAATAACAAATTTCTTAATAATATTAAGAAATAATATAACATAATTTAATGGTTTTAAAAATTTATTTGCGAAAAATCAAATTAAATAATGAGTATTATTAGAATAAGCTCTAATCATTCAAAAATTCAAAGTTTTGATANTTAATTGAAATACTATAGACCATGTAAGATTTTAGAAATAATAATAAACTTCATATACCTTAATAGGATATTGTATGGATTTATCGTAGATATTCAACACGATAAACTTTACCATATCAAATAAAGAAAAAGCTAACTTTACGCTCAATTTTTGTTCAAATATGGATTGACATATCCCTTTAAAAATTCCTTTTTTTAATAGCTAGATATCTTCAGAATTACTCCTAAGATGCAATACACATGTTTTCATTATTTACCACTCGAATTAAACTCCATTCAGCCAAATACTGGCTGCTTCTACTTAAATTTGAGAAAAAACTTCTTCGATAGTTTCTAAAAACTCCTTTTTTATTTTACTCTACATGTATCCATTTTCATTCTTTAATTAATAAGAAAATATTATTCTCAACAAATCATTACAAATTTATAGTAATTAATGAAAAAGAAAGCCTGATAGCTTAATATAAATAAGTAATTATTTCATTAATTATCCTGTAATTTTTTCTATCAATTAATAATTTTTTGTAGTTTCAGATTAATAAATACAAAGAATATGAAATACTAATTTATTGTTTTAAAACCAACAAAATGCAGCAAGTACTTCATCCTGATTCAATTTATCTTAAAAACTTAAAGATTTTTCAGAAATTATTTTTGTAAATGTTGATAATTAGGTTACGAACCCTTCAGGAATTTATTGGAAATTAGGGTAAACATCAATCTTATTCGAGGACGTTTTTGTCAAACAGCTTCCACCACCTCTTAATCTAATAAAGGATATAAAATGAGTATCTATCTGATGATTTGAAATTTAAAGTTAGATCAAAGCAATTCTCAACTTAATCTATTCTGGTAAACTAAAGTTTCTCTAATTCTATTCTTGATAGCTCTTAGCATGTGCTATAGTAATTGTCTTCCCTATGTAATTCATGGTTAGAATAAAAATAAAAAATAATAATTAAAATCTATTAAACCAATCCTTCGTTTTATACCCTATTTCATAATTCTTAACCGATGTTGTATTATCTTGACGAAAAATAATTGAACATACATTATCATGATCATTACAATATTCATCACAGCATTATTGATCTAATGCTTTGAACAGATATTATTATTCAACTATTTTTGGACACACCTTGTCTCTAATCCATTAATGCAGTTATAATTCTATTAACATCCTCTATAATTATGTTAGATCTTGGAAGTCTCGTAAGAATTACCTATAACTTAAAATCCTGAACCAAAACTTGACTTTTTCTTAAAAACACCCAAAGTTACTAGATTTCCACCTGCTTTTGTTTGTTCTTATGATTGTAATTTTATTATATAAAGTTGTTTTGCCAACACTAATTGATAAGCCTAATAGAATAATTATCTTTCTAATTTATTTATAAAATAAATAACAAATTTCTTAATAATATTAAGAAATAATATAACATAATTTAATGGTTTTAAAAATTTATTTGCGAAAAATCAAATTAAATAATGAGTATTATTAGAATAAGCTCTAATCATTCAAAAATTCAAAGTTTTGATAATGTAAAAATAATTTTAATAATATTGAATTATATTTCACTATGAACGACCCCTTTGGATAACAAGATTTATACTTTTGTGGCAGGAGTGTTTGAATATCTCTGTGCGATTGAAGAACTTATAACATAGCGAGCATATCATCCTCTCATCAAATGATAGCCTCACCATTTCTTAGCGTAATATAATTTGGTTTAACAAATCTACAATCACTTGAATTGTTCATTGTGGTCTGTTAGTTTTTTGTAAACCTAATACTACATTTTTTATCCTTTATTGTTCTTATCACTACCATCTTTATCTCTATTAGTTTGGTACGAAGAACACCTCCAAATCTGATGTATTGAGAACAACATCTGCTACCTAAATATGGTCTTTTACTAGTCCCTCTATCTTGCTAAAGTCATCATCTTCTAGTTCGATAAAACTCAAACTACTTTATATAGTGATATATATCTAATCTAAGTAAAACTAAATTACTTGTAAAATTTGAAATGTATTATCATAACTTATGGTTGTACGATTTTTTATTTTCAAGATTAGAAAATAAGATATACTAATTTTGAGGCTTCGCAAAAAACGCTGTTGAAAGAATTAAAAATAAAATATGATGTTTCCTTTGAGGAAAAAATAATCTCAAGTTATACAAACTTGAAAAATAAGACCTTTCTATTGATAGTTTAGTTAATTTAAGTGACCAGAAAAGAATTTTATATAATTTTCATCCTCATATAATACTCTATTTCTTTGAGAAATTGTAGTTACTCTCTGACTTTCATATTACTGATATTTGATTAAAAAGTTGCCACACCCATAAAGTAAATGAATCAAATTCACGATATTAAAATATTTCCTCGTTAAAGACCTTCAATATATTACCCAAATCGTTTAACACTAAGTTAATAAGAATTGCAAATTTTTAAGTAGTCTCTATTAACAAATAAATATTACTAGAAAAAGTATACTTATATTGCGCTTCCAAGGAGGAAAATAGAGGAAGAAAGCAACAAAGAAATTGTTATTATTTATTATTGATAATTCTCAATCAAAATATATAGTTAAATATTTAAGACTAATACAAATGTGACTTTCTAATCTAGTTTTTCCATTCCTAACTATTCGAATTCGGTTCATTTAAGAATACTTTATTAGATAATTGCATAAATTAATTCAACTTATAAATCAAAATATCAAAAAATAGAAAGACAGAATTCCAAGGATTATTTTATATTGGATAGTTAGAATGGATTGAAATTAGAGAATATTGTGAAAAAATTTATATATCTGAAACAAAATTCATCATAATTCATGAGAATCAAATTGATTTTAACCAAAAATAATGATATAGTAATTAAGGAAGTTAAAGATAAAAAGATTTTAAATTTATTGGTAATAACAATCCTTATTTTAAAAGAAGATATGTAATCGTTAAGTAGATCAAAACTAGAATAGTAAAATATTTTGATATTGTTTATTTTTATAAAAAGCGATATTAATGTTATATCATAAAACAAAGAAACTACCTTTTGATTTAAATAATGGATGTAGATCTAAACCTTAATAAGTAACAAATTCCCCTTTCAAAATTATAGCTCTATTGATTTAAAAGTTGGTGCATAAGGAAATTTGTAGAATAGTTATTTTAGATGTAGCTATAACATAATAATAAATAAATACAACTATCTCTAGTTGAAAAGATAGTGGGTGGAAACTTGGCCAGAATTTTTTGGTAACGTTTGTTATCAGTTAAGATTTCTTGTCCTGTTGTAATATTCCATAGACGAATAGACCCATCATAATTATCAGATGCTAGTGAAGTACGATCAGGAGATAAACTCACTTAATAAACATAACTAGTATGACTATCTAATTTGGCTAGCTATCCTTTCTTAACAGACCATAAAAGGATGGATTTATCATCACTACCAGATGCTAAAGTAGTACCATCTGGAGAGAAACAGACTGACATGACATAATGAGTATGGCCATGTAATTTCGCTTGTTATTATGTTGTTTTAAAATCCCATAAACGGATAGAGTTATCATAACTACCAGATGCTAATGTATTACTATCAGGAGAGAAACAGACAGACATGACATAATGAGTATGACCATCCAATTTCGCTTGTTATTATCCTGTCTTAACATTCCATAAACGGATAGAGTTATCATTACTACCAGATGCTAATGTGTTATTATCAGGCGAAAAACAGACAGACATGACATAATGAGTATGACCATCCAATTTCGCTTGTTATTATCCTGTCTTAACATTCCATAAACGGATAGATTTATCATTACTACCAGATGCTAATGTGTTATTATCAGGCGAAAAACAGACAGACATGACATAATGAGTATGACCATCCAATTTCGCTTGTTATTATCCTGTCTTAACATTCCATAAACGGATAGATTTATCATTACTACCAGATGCTAATGTGTTATTATCAGGCGAAAAACAGACAGACATGACATAATGAGTATGACCATCCAATTTCGCTTGTTATTATCCTGTCTTAACATTCCATAAACGGATAGATTTATCATTACTACCAGATGCTAATGTGTTATTATCAGGCGAAAAACAGACAGACATGACATAATGAGTATGACCATCCAATTTCGCTTGTTATTATCCTGTCTTAACATTCCATAAACGGATAGATTTATCATTACTACCAGATGCTAATGTGTTATTATCAGGCGAAAAACAGACAGACATGACATAATGAGTATGACCATCCAATTTCGCTTGTTATTATCCTGTCTTAACATTCCATAAACGGATAGATTTATCATTACTACTAGATGCTAATGTAGTACCATCAGGAGAGAAACAGACTGAATTTACAGTGCTGGTATGACCCTCTAATTTGGCTTTTTATTATCCGGCCTTAACATTCCATAAACGGACAGAGTTATCATTACCCATCAATTCTCCACTACCAGATGCTAAAGTAGTACCATCAAGAGAGAAACAGACTGTATTGACAGCATTACTATGACCATCTAACTTGGCTTTTAGTAAACCATGGTTAATATCCCATAAACAGATAGAACTATCTTAGCTGCCAGATGCTAATGTAGTACCATCAGGAGAGAAACAGACTGAATTTACAGTGCTAGTATGACCCTCCAATTTAGCTTTTTATTATCCTGTCTTAACATTCCATAGACAGATAGACTTATCATCGCTACCAGATGCTAATATAGTACCAGAAGGAGAGAAACAGGTTGACCATACAGTGCTAATATGGCCACGCAATATAGCTTTTTAATATCTAGGCTTAACATCCCAGAAACGGATAGAGTTGTCGCTACTTCCAGATGCTAATATAGTACCATTAGGAGAGAAGCAAATTGAATAAACAATGTTAGTATGACCATCTAATTTGGCTTTTTGCTATCTTGTTTTAACATCCCATAATCGAATAGAGTTATCTCTACTACAAGAGGCTAATGTAGTACCATTCGGAGAGAAACAAATTGTATAAACAATATTAGTATGACCATCTAATTTGGCTTTTTGCTATCTTGTTTTAACATCCCATAATCCAATAGTGTTATCTCTACTACAAGAGGCTAATGAAGTACTATCAGGAGAAAAACAAACAAACATGACAGCATGAGTATGACCCTTCAATTAGGCTTTCTATTATCCTGTCTTAACATTCCATAAGCGGATAGAGTTATCATTACCCATAAATTCTCCACTACCAGATGCTACTGTAGTACCGAAAGGGGAGAAACAGACTGAATTTACAGTGCTAGTATGACCATCCAATCTTGCTTGCTATTATCCTGTCTTANCCATAAACGGATAGATTTATCATTACTACTAGATGCTAATGTAGTACCATCAGGAGAGAAACAGACTGAATTTACAGTGCTGGTATGACCCTCTAATTTGGCTTTTTATTATCCGGCCTTAACATTCCATAAACGGACAGAGTTATCATTACCCATCAATTCTCCACTACCAGATGCTAAAGTAGTACCATCAAGAGAGAAACAGACTGTATTGACAGCATTACTATGACCATCTAACTTGGCTTTTAGTAAACCATGGTTAATATCCCATAAACAGATAGAACTATCTTAGCTGCCAGATGCTAATGTAGTACCATCAGGAGAGAAACAGACTGAATTTACAGTGCTAGTATGACCCTCCAATTTAGCTTTTTATTATCCTGTCTTAACATTCCATAGACAGATAGACTTATCATCGCTACCAGATGCTAATATAGTACCAGAAGGAGAGAAACAGGTTGACCATACAGTGCTAATATGGCCACGCAATATAGCTTTTTAATATCTAGGCTTAACATCCCAGAAACGGATAGAGTTGTCGCTACTTCCAGATGCTAATATAGTACCATTAGGAGAGAAGCAAATTGAATAAACAATGTTAGTATGACCATCTAATTTGGCTTTTTGCTATCTTGTTTTAACATCCCATAATCGAATAGAGTTATCTCTACTACAAGAGGCTAATGTAGTACCATTCGGAGAGAAACAAATTGTATAAACAATATTAGTATGACCATCTAATTTGGCTTTTTGCTATCTTGTTTTAACATCCCATAATCCAATAGTGTTATCTCTACTACAAGAGGCTAATGAAGTACTATCAGGAGAAAAACAAACAAACATGACAGCATGAGTATGACCCTTCAATTAGGCTTTCTATTATCCTGTCTTAACATTCCATAAGCGGATAGAGTTATCATTACCCATAAATTCTCCACTACCAGATGCTACTGTAGTACCGAAAGGGGAGAAACAGACTGAATTTACAGTGCTAGTATGACCATCCAATCTTGCTTGCTATTATCCTGTCTTAACATTCCACAAACAGATAGAGAGATCATTACTACTAGATACTAATGTAGTACCATCAGGAGAGAAACAAACTGAATTGACATTATGAGTATGACCATCCAATTTTGCTTGTTATTATCCTGTCTTAACATTCCATAATAGGATAGATTTATCATTACTACTAGATGCTAAAGTAGTACCATCAGGAGAGAAACAGACTGAATTTACATAATGAGTATGACCATCTAATTTCGCTTGTAATTATCCTGACTTAACATTCCATAAACAGATAGACTTATCATAACTACCAGATGCTAATGTAATGCCATCTGGAGAGAAATGGACTGATCTCACACTATCACGGTGACCATCTTTGCCATTTTAATATCTGGTCTTGACATCCCATAAAACGATGGAGTTATCTTATCTACTAATTGCTAATATAGTACTGTCTGGAGAGAAACAGACAGAATTTCCAATGCTAGTAATACAATCCAATTTAGCTTATTATTTTCCTTTCCTAACATCCCAAAAACGGATAGAATGATCTGAACCACTAGATGTTAATGTAGTACCATCTGGAGAGAAACAGACTGAATTTACACTGCTTGTATGACCATGTAATTTAACTTTTTATTACCCTGTCTTGACATCCCATAAAAGAATAAAATTATCATAACTACAAGATGCTAATATAGTGCCGTCAGGAGAGAAACAGACAGACATAACCATATGAGTATGAAAATCTAATTTGGCTTTTTATTATTCTCTCTTAACATTCCATAAACGGATGGAGAGATCATCACTACCAGATGCTAATATAGTACCATCAGGAGAGAAACAGACTGATCTAACATAACCAGTATGACCATATAACCTTGCTTTTTATTATGCTGTCTTAATATTCCATAAATAGATGGTTTAATCTTAACTTCCACATGCTAATATAAAACCATCTGGAGAGAAACAAAGTGTTATTACAAAACCAGTATGACCCATCAATTTCAACAATTATTTACTTGTTATAAGATTCTATAAATACACATAATAGCCGCTGCAAAAAGCTAATATATTACCATTAGGAGAGAAGCAGACTGATTTCACGTTTTTCTATTTCAATAATAAAGACTATGATTTTCGTATTTTTAAATTCCACAAATGAATTGAATTATCATTACTGCTAAACGCTATGAAATTGCCATCTTGTGAAAAGCAAATTGAATTAGCCATACCACCATGCACATCTATCTATATTTCCTCATTTAATCTTAAATTTTTCCATTTACAATTAAATAATCTGGATCCATTAAAATTTATTCCACTAATATCGACATTATCAAATTAGGATCCACTAAAGTCACATTTTACAAAGTTTGCTCCTACCAGTGAAATATTTTTAATTTTAACATTTTCAAAAGATTTTGTTCTTAAATCAATCTTCATTTAAACTAAGAAATGAAGAGAATTTGATCCACATTAGATAAATCTGTCATCTACACTTGTGAGAAGTACTAGAAATTATAAAAATTTGATAATCTTCTCTTAATTTTGTATTTTCTTCATTATAATTTCTTTAGTTTCTTTATAATCATTAGTTGAATAATTATTTTTATTAAAGTCATGCGCAGCGATTTATTGGAGAATATTAGTAACTTTCTAAATGTTACTTTTTGTGGTACAAAGCTTCCACCACTTATCAAAACATTATATACTATCACTTAAAAAAATGCATTTTTCCAAATGTAGCTGATATAATTATTTTGAAAGGTATTCTAGTGAATCTGAAACTCTTTCCTTTAAGAGCATTTCAATGATTAAATTGAATAGTTAAGCATCTATACCTTTAAGGGGTTATAACAAGTCATAAAAATCACTTTTCATATTTGACATTTTCTTTTTTTTTAAAAATATTAACTTTTATTTTTTTATATTGAGTTTTATACTATAACCCCAGAAAAGTATCTTGTGTTGAATTATTAGAAAGAAAAGCAAACATTGTAAAGATTTAGAGTTGATGTAATTTATTATAGCGTAATTTCACATATCCTTGTAGATGATTTGATTCTTTACGAATATTGAATAAAATTCTAAACAAATTATTAACATCATCACATACCATCAACAAGATTTCTCAGTAAGAAAGGTTAATATCATAGTTCATTTGGATTAATTTCAAAATAAATCAATTTTTTTTTTTCAAGAATTATTAAATTTTATTTTAGCTTTATTTTGATCATAATCCAACAATAATAATAAGTAATTCTATGCAACTAAAGTACATTATAAATATTCTAATTTTTCTACTATTCTATCATATTATCATTCTGATATGTAAAGAGGAATTATTAGATAGATGAATAACTAATAAAAAATAATTAAGATATTATAGATTTTATTAAATTAGAGATGAAATAGATACTCTAGTTAGATTAAAAAATTAAGTAACAAAGATAACTAACTTATATGTTAAAAGGATCAAAATTAGAAAATATTGAAACAATAGGAGAAATAAGATAGGCTTTGTTTAATTATGTTATTAAATATTAAACATAAATTAGATTAATTTATCAAACACGATTTGCAATTTAATTAATTATTATCAATAGATTCAAATAGACTAAAATGATAATATACAGGAAAATAAAATCAGTCTAGAGATGTTCGAATTTATTTCAGAATGAAAATTATAAGATTAATTTTTAATCAATCTTGAATCTGCTAATTTATAAATTGAATTATTGAAAGATTCAGAAATATAAAATAGAAAAGAAAAACAAACTAAATTTTGATTGAGTTGGTAAAGACGATGCAGAATTCTTGAACCTATTGAAGAAAAAATTTATAAATTGAATTATTTTTGAAGAAAATGTATAAATTTATTATGGTTGATGAACAGAAGAACAATTACTAGAGGTAACATCTTAAAAGGAAAACCGCTAATCAGATCGAAGGATGAAAAAAAAAAAATCTTAATTTAAGAGAAATAGAAGGAAATATAGAAACATTTGACAACCTTTAACCAAATCATTAAAAAAAAGAATAATTATAACAGCAATCAACATAATAAATATAATTATAATTAGAATAATAAATAAGTGTAAATTTCTTAAATTAATGATGCAAAAATCAAATTCTTGTAAATTCAGTATGAATCTTAATTAACACTAATTAATAGAAAATTAAATTTTTAAATATATGATTGAAAGTCAGAATTGAGTGTTGTTATTAAAGAGATGAAAATTTTATGAATCTGCAATTAGTGGAAGGGAGTTAGCTTAAATTTGAGGTAGAGAATTAGAATATTGAATTAATTAAAATTAAAAATAACTCCTAATTTACAAAATACGAATCAAGATCAAACTCTCCTCGCTTATTTTACTTATCTTCAATTAGAAAATTTCCCGAACAGCATGTATTTGCAGGTGTTCTTATAATATTTTTCTAAATGGGTTTGGGTTTGGGTTTGGGTTTGGGTTGGGTTTGGGTTTGGGTTTGGGGTTGGGGTTGGGGTTGGGGTTGGGGTTGGGGTTGGGTTTGGGGTTGGGGTTGGGGTTGGGGTTGGG